ATTGAATTAGAAAACTGAAATCCCTAAAACACTCTTAATTAATGGAAATAGTGATAACTATTAACATTCTTTTTTCATTCGAATCACCAAGTAAAATTCACTCTACTCAGTGAGGCAGTGTTCCTACATGGAGGATTTCATGAGAGTGTTATGCAAATTTTTTTTGAAAATTTTACTTAATAATATTTCCAACCAGATTATTGCTCATCTCTATAGGGGAATGTTTTGGTAAAATTAACCACGGGTTTGCATTTAGGAAAACCTTGTCCAAATCTTGTTTGCCATTAACTATGATACAAGTTAGGAAATCTAACATGCTTTTGTTTTAACTCTGTATAAAAAAACCAACTATTTAAGGAAACACATGAAACAAAATATTTCATCAATATACAATCATTAAGATGAAGAAAAATGTGTGTACAAAGTGATGAATTAGCTCCCCTTTACTTGTATAAGAAATATAAAATTGGCCTCTGACTCCCAAGGTCTTTTGGTATAACCGCCTTAACAAAGCATGACTCTCACCCTGGCTGGGTAGCTCAGTTGATTGGAGTGTAATCCAGATATGCCAAGGTTGTGGGTCAAGGCTGTGGGTTCAATTCCTGGTCAGGGCACATAGAAGAAGCAAAAAATTAATATATGAACAAGTGAAACAACAGGTCAATGTTTCTCTCTCTCCCTTCCTCTTTCCTTAAAACCAATAAGTAAATTTTAAAAATAGAAAAATAGAGCCAAAGTAGCCATTTCGGATGAACTGCTTTGCATATCTTTTACCTTCTGAAATGAATCAAACCACCAACATTACAAGAAGAAAGAAGGATACTATCCCACTTGTGAGGACTGATGAACTAGGACTTTGCTGATGATCAAATCACTATGCAGTCAATGAAACAGACATCTAGTTTTTTGCCTGATGACCAAATCTCAAGCCAATCTATGCAGCACAAGTCTGACCTTACCTCATATGGCATCAATGAACTCTTTTTTTTTAAATATAATGTACCTCATCTTTTTCCTTTTTTAGATTAAAAACCTGAGCCTCTTTCCCACACAATGAGTGGGGTGGGGGCATTTTTGAGCTTCTGCCTGAATATGGACCTCCTAAATTGCAATTCCTTTGCTCCCAAATAAATCCCTTTTTTTTATTACTATCTCCTGAATTTTCAGGTTAACAGCCACAAATCCTTTATCCATTTATCTATCTGTGGACACTTAGGTTATTTCTATACCTTGGCTATTATAAATAATGCTGCTATTAGTATGAAGATCCAAATATCTTTTGAGCTAGTGTTTGTTTCCTTTATATTCACAGCAGTAGAATTGTTATCACATGGTAATACTATTTTTAATTTTTTGAGGATCCTCCATATTATTTCATAGTGGGTACCAATTCATACCTGCAGTGCCCAAGTAGGAATCTCTGTCAGCAGTGTGGCTCATCTACAAAACCAAGTGGGGATCACACTCAGACCAGGTAACATGGCAGGGTGCAATTTTTCCTGATTTGGATCTTCAAATGAGGAGTTTTGCTGGCCCTAGAGCCTGGTTTTCCCAGGTCTGGGCAAGGAACTGGATCTATCACAAGTCCTCCTGCCCCTGAGTGTGTCTTCCAGCCCCATTGGACCCAAAGGGCTGGCTAGAACCCTGGAAACAAGGAGGCGCAGTGGTGCTGGAATGGCAAGCTGGACAGAGCAAAGCCAGTATTGGAGTGAGCGTTCCACACTATCTATCCACAGGAGGGGAATTAATTTCATAGCCCAAGCTGAGAGCAGGTCTTGGCCCCTCCCAGCTAGAGAGCCTGTTGTACACTGAGGGTCAATGTAATTGATAATAGTTTACAATAGACCTAAACAGTGTATCAAGCCTGATTTATTGACAAGGTTTCTTGCACAGATCTTGATGGTCAAATTAAAGACAGTGTTTATTTGCAGACAATGTACTGCAAATAAAAATCCTTGAGGACATACACATGGGATGTACCATGGGCCTACGATGCTCACCTGTTTTCTCTTTCTTTTGCTGGCTGTAATCTTTCCCTGAAATAACAGTGATGATGAATATGCTGTGTAAAGTCTGGCGAGCCCATTCAAGTACCTGGCCTAGGGAGAATTTTGCACAGTTCTATTCCTTCTGTCCAGCTAAATAGATCTCTATCAATTTGTACCACTTTCTGAAGAGTGTGTTTTTTCTTTTTTTTTTCATTGTCTTTCTTTTTCTTTCTTATTTGTCGGAATACAATTTCTTATACCTATACAGCTCTTTATCTGGTATACATTTCTTGGGGGGTGGGGGATATGTATACAGAAATTTCTGCTGATCTTTATGGGGACAAGCATGGTCCCAATTCAGATATCTGGTCTCATTTAAAAAATAAATAACCTAAATAAGATCAACTTAACAGAGAGCTGCCTTTTCTAGAAGTTATGTGTTTTTTTTCCCTCTAGTTTGCAGGTGATTTGTCTTCACACTGCCAACCTTCTCCAATTATACAACCTCAATAAACAGTGGATAGAGTAAGGGTGCACCTTTTGGGAAATGTTAATTCCCTCTAATTTACCCAAGTATCTTCACAGACACAAAAAAATGAAAGGATCCTTGAAAGAGCCTTCAGCCTTTTATTACTTCATCTTATCTTCTACCACAAAATTTCAAAAGAATAAGGGGAACATTTTTTTAACTCTTAAGTTCTGTCCTTCAGTAATTGGGTAAGTTTTGGTGACATTTACAGATACAGAAAACACTGGTTGTTTATTTGACAAGTGCAGTATTAGAGGATAAAGACTTTTGTTGGGGTGTGTTGTATGTGGGTTTTTAATAAGATATTCAAGTGAAAAATAATAAGTCTGCAGATAAATATTTAAATTTCCTAAGAAGAGTTATTATTCAATAGGAACTTATCAAGAACACTATTTTTTTTAGTTTATCAGCATTGCAATGTTATAATCGGATATTAAACATATATATTTTTTATTTTTATTGAATTTAGTGGGGTGACATTTCTTAACAACATTATATAGGTTGCATGCACAATTCTATAACACAATATCTGTGTATTGCACTGTGTGTTCCCCACCCAAAGTCAGGTGTCCTTCAACACCATTTATCCCCTTTACCCTCTTACGTGTCCCCCCACCTCCCCTTTCCCTCTGGCAACCACCGCACTGTTGTCTGACAAATGTATTTTTCACAAAGAAAATTTTCACTAATGTAAAATTAAGCAATAAATTGTTTTTCATTATTATTATTTTGGTTTGGATCAATCATCCCTAGGGAGCATAAACACCAAGTAAAGCACTACCCTTCTAGGTAAAATCAGTGGATTTTCCTCCCATTTACTCCACTATCAATGAGAACTAGAAATGACAATAATAATGAAAATAACTCTATTTGACTTGGAACATTTTCTTCAAAAGAACAAACAAAAGCTGTTCAATATGGTGTCCTTAAATAATTATTCTTTATGACATTCTCTTGTATTGAAGTATTTTTATTTTGGTTGCTTCTCCCATGCAACAGGTATAGAAAATTGGACCTGCATCGACTTTTCTAATCTTACAAAGGGTAGTTAGAAGGTGAAGCAAGGACGGGGTAGGAGTACAAACTGGAAAGTGAACAAAAAACTGAATGGAGCAAATCATGTGAAGATGTATAGATCTTGTGTTATAGCCTGACAGAGAGAAAGAGAGTGTGTTCAGCACAAATAACACCTCTGTTTTATTACATAAAAATCTTTTATTACAAAATCATAAGCATGTAATTCTGTAACATAACAATATCACACTCAAGCACACCATATGACATTTTAGATGAAATGTTCAAATTGCTGTCCATTTCATGTGAGACATTTGTGTACCCTACCAGCCACACTCAATGGCATTAGTTCCAGCTAACCCTGCATAAAATTGGACTCACAAGAATCAGATACCTTACTTAGAATCAAACTCTGCCACTGTATTAAGCTTTAAAAGTGATTGGAGAGAGACAAGACTTGAGGTTGTAAACACACAGAGTGTTTTAGATTGTATCATTCTGTGTCCAAACAGGAGAAAAAACCACATAGTCATTTGAACAGTGTAAGTTTTATATAAAGGATCATTACTATAACAAGTGATTATGTTAAGGAGATATTAGCAAGTAAAGAGAAATAACAATGTAGAAATAACAGATTTAAGAAGCAGTCTCTAGCATTATGCCTAAGATAGCTTACATAATGAAGAACCTTATCTCTCAGAAATGAGATTCCAGTGTATTGCAGAGGTTACAGCTATGGCTTAGTGAACGACAGAAGTTTTGTGATGCCATGCCAACAGAACTTGCTGGAAATATGCCCTCTGGCACTTGCTAGAAAACGGTCTTGGTACTTGGTACTGGGTGAAGCTGTTCATTTCAGAGTTCTGCTGGACATTGTTTACTGTGGAAGAGACTGGGGCAGAGAGACTCTGGGACAATCAGTTGCCTGCTGAATGCTGTTGACTTCCCTGCCCTGCACAAACTGAGCACTGGGAGAGTCACTCTTTTACAAAACCACCAGGAAATAGGAGGCGACAAAGGAAGCCACTGGCTGTCAGATATTGCTGCCTGCCCTGTTCTGGGAGAATTCGGCACTAGAAAAGCTGTGAACACCGCAGGAGCCTGCAAAGCCAGTGCACCAAATATGGAAGACAAAACTCTCTGGCAGTGTTCTCTACTGGCAAAACCTGGTGCCAACTGGCATAGGAAAAGCAAATATTTGAAAGGACCCAGATCCATTTTCACAGAGTAGTTTACAAGTAAAATTGTAGCTAAGAGGCAATGCATTTATAATAGCATGATAAGAAAATACAAATACTTTCACACTGATAGTTGCATATCTAAAATATTCCAGAATACAATACCACACAAATCCATAAGTTCCAAGTGTGTTTGTCATAAGCAGTCTAGACAAATCAGGTATATCCTTCTGAGAACATTCTGCTAAAGCAAACATCTATTAATAAATGCTATCGAGAGATCCAGTTGGCATACTTACCTGGCAGGGGAGAGACCATGATCATGAAGGTGATTTTCCCAGGGAGAGGCTTATCCATTGCACTCTGGATGTGTTGACCCTTGTGACTTTCTGAAATGTGGGGAACTCAACTGCACAATTTTTGCTAGTGCGGGACTGTGTTTACACTCTCCCCAGTGGGGGAAAAAAAAGAGATCCAGTTTGCATGTTTAGAATATTTGACTAAACTACACACCATTTTTACCCGGGTATCTTCGGGGAAGGAAATAAGGATTACCCACAGGCTGGTAACCTTTTACTGGTTACCAATAAAACACTCAACTGGTCATTGAGTGTTACTGTTAGCCATGACATGTGAGTAACTCAGAGAGGTTTTGGTTTGGGATATAAGTAAGGCTTCTATTATCAGAATTTAGAAACATAGAAGAAATAACGAGTAAAGTATCTGTGGGAGAGAGACCAAATAAGTCTTATAACTTCAGAAGAAGTGAAAATGTTGATTGTAACAATATTTCAAAATATCCTTTAAATATATTTCAGATTTCCTTGAGTCAATGTTCTGTATATTTACCTATATTATTATTTCAAAATATTATCTTCTACTCATTTTCCAAACTATAGTCTGTCATCTTAACTGAATTTTCAAATTGTCCAGTATGTTTATTGAAATTTAAATCATTTTTAATGTTATAAATTTGTAAATTACATTGTGAACTTGATATTTTACATTGTCATCATTCATTATGTGTTCATAACAAATAATGACAAGCTATCAATCACAACATCTATCATTTGTATTCAGGCATTTATGAACCTGTGATCATTAATTTTAACATTCAGAAATATTGAAAGATAAGTCTCAATATCATAAAGATACAGAAGAAGTAAAATAAAATTGGTTTCATAGATTTTACAAAGTACCAGCACATGTATTTGCTTTTAGATATTATCCTCATATAAATGTATAAATAACTAAAAGGTGTTGTTTGAAGGACAAAAATCTATATTGTAATAAAAACCAGAGCATGTGTGAATCTACTTTTTTGCTTATATTTTGCAGGAAGTAATATTAGGGACTTCAGCATGTCCAGCATTTCCTTAGGAAAGCTCAAGTGCAGTATAAATTTCTCTAAAGGACCAAGTTACTAAGTCTCATCTGTTTTCTTTGGATTGTTTTTCTTTTAATTTTTCTTCTTCACATGGTCATGGCAAAAAAAAAAAAAAACAACAAACAAACCTGTAAGTGATTACTTCATTTTTTTATCATTTTATTTTATTACAGATGGCATAAAATATTACATTAGGTTCAGCTGTATAACCCAGTGACTAGAATTACATAACTCACTAAGTGGTCATACTGATAAATCTAGTATGCATCTTTATTGACTATATTCTCTATGTTTTGATTTTTATCCCTGAAACTCTTCTATAACTGCCAATGTGTACTTCTTAATCCCTTCACCTTTTCCCCCATCCTCCCAACCCAAAGCAATTATTTCTTAATGATGAAAAATAAAAAAGACAACTAAATAATCATGATTTCTAATTTTAGGTATTATAGTATTATGTGATATTTTAAAATGTAACTTGTAAATGAACAAGATTAATTGCATGAAGAGCTTTCTTTTTTTTTATTTTAATTGTTCAAGTACAGTTTTCTGCCTTTTACTCCCATCCCAGCCCACCCCCCAGCCCTCCCCACCTCCCTCCCATTTCCACACCCCCCCCTAGTTTTTGTCCATGTGTCTTTTATACCTGTTCCTGTAAACCCTACCCCTTTTCCCCGGAAACTCCCACCCCTCTCCCCTCTGGTCACTGTCAGCCTGTTCTCTACTTGAAATAGAGAACATGAAGGGCTTTCATAAAGATACTTCTGGCACACAGAAGTTTCCCATCTATTAATTCCGTCATAGGCATCATTCTGAATGTTACTCTCTGTCATTAGAATCCACCCAATGGCTCCTGTGCTCAGTATGCAGGGGTGAACAGTCCTCGTCCTGGTCACAATAGTATGATAGTGGAGATAATTACTCAAAAAATGTATTTTCCTTAAATGTTTATAAAAGCACGTTTCAGGTGAGGTCTGCTATACAGTTAAAGTTTCAGAGAACACGAAAACTCATTAATTTTGAATTGCAGAGTACCATATGAATCTTTTGGGTCAGACTCTGCCACTTAAATGGTGCCATCTAGCAACTTTAGTATGTCAAATGATGCTTAGTAGACTCACCAACTTAATTAGCTTCCAAAACACTTAACTTATTTTTACTGACTGACTTACTAGGAGAATAATTTTTTTTATTATGGGGTAGCGCATGACCATATTACTAACATTAATAAAACTAATTATGTGACAATTATTTCATAGTTTGACATTAACTTGTGTGTTCTGAAAACATAACACACTAAATTAATTCTGCCTGAGAAGTGGGCTGTCATTTACTGCCTAGAAAAAAGTAATTCAGTGACTAATACCTGATGCTTTAAGATTTTAATATGTTATGAGAATAAACACTATCTCCCTAGAATATTTTCTTGTCATTGTTTATCATGGAATTATGCCTACATTTATCAAAGTGAAACACATAATTATAGCTTTATGCTTCAGTGTGTTACTCCATTATTTGTTATATACATTTTGTTTTTATATTTCATGTGAAAAACTCAGCTTTTTCCTACATTGCTCTGCTTTTCATATTGTTTTAGATAGTTACATTTTAACCTAAGTAATTAAATATATTTTAAAACTCTGCTAATTACCTCTATTAGTACAAAGTATAGGAAATTTTTAAAAAAGCATATAAAGACCTGCCATTGTTTTTGTTTTACCTGTTATTGAATTTTATTTGTATTTTTTAAAATAAACATTAAAACCTTGAACTATCCTACCTATTTCTTCCCTTCCTGCTATTTTATGATTCTCTTACTTTGTACTTAAATCACAATTATAACTAAAATACTATACGTTAAATAGTTTAAAAACATAATTTAATTATTTTATCATTACAAGATGTATAATCTAATTTTATTATGGTACAGAAAATTCATGTCTGCTAAATGCACACAAGAAATAGTTTCCACACAGCTATTTATGATATTTTTAAAGTTTCACACTCTCAACTTTCCCCTACAGGGTTAAGTATGCTTTAGACCCTTACTCACACTTGACTTTTAACTTTGGTCAGTAGCTCAATAACTCAGAATTGAGTAGATCTGAACTTGTACTTTGTAAAAGATGCTTCCAGTTAGTATGCTACCTCTCTGCCCTTCTGTGTAAAGTTCTCTTATTTGTGACCTAAAAACCTTTAGATAGATTATTTTTCCTCTCTTCATATTCCATTTGTGATGAATCCTGAATGTCTTCTAATAAATCTCTGGTTTGGAGTTTTCCTTTACTGAAAAATAAATTTTACAGCATACTATACCAGGTGTTTTATAGAATACTGAGATATAGATGCAAATTTTAAAAATGTCCTTGCTTTGAAGAAACTCACAGTGGTAGCAAATAAGTAAATAAACAACTTAAGTGTTATATGATGAATGATATGACATAGACAATACAGACTAGAAGGAAAAGATGTGATCGATCTGGTTGGATATTAAGTTATTAAAATTGAGATTTCTGTGCTTAGATCTTTTTCAGTGGAAGACTTTGAATTATATTCAATACATATTTTACCACAGATAATGATTTCTGACTTATAATAGAATGACTAATGAGCCTGAGTCATAATGGTATTATTCTGCTCTTCTTTCAGACAAAATACTCAACTAAATGCCTTTACAAATCGCTATTGAGTAACATCCTTTCTGATTAAACCATCCCTGAATTTGCTGTCGTGTTAAGAGTTACTTTTAACTCAATTTGTTCAATCTAGTTTATCATATTAATATTAAAGGTCACATTCTGACATCTGTCTATTACATCATAAACTCTGGAATAATGGCATAAATTACAGAATGTAGTGGACAGTGCTTTTTCTGTTCTTTTTGTTTGTTTCTTTATTTATTTAATAAGCAGTCTGTTCCTTCTGGAATAATCAATTCTACTAGGTTATACTTCTGTCTTTACTCTAACCATGTAGTTTTAGAAAAATCTTTCATGTTTTACTACAGTCCCATTAGCTGTGAGTTCTTTGTCTAGGTGAGGGATCCTCATATAAAACACCAATAACAAATTTCTATGATTTTTTAAACTTAATTGTTCAGAAACCTTAAGTGGCATAAATATGAAAATAAACATCTCAAAATCTTGGCAGTAAGAGATTAAAGACAGTATTCAGTGAGGAAAAAATGGAAAAAAACATTTAGGGAATTAAAGAGAAAGGGGACAGAGCAACACCTAGAAGCATTTAAGCCCATAATTATAAATATCATAGTGCCATTACAATGTAAACTTTCCACTTTTTCATTTGACAGTTTTTTATGTTCTGTCAATTTTATTTAAGCCAATTCAAGTAACAAAATTATTACATGCAGTACAAAGTAATTGAATAATGCAGTCCATGTTTTTAAAGGTAACACTACAATCTAACATATACACATCCACATACGATACCATTTTTCCTCATCTTTTGGGGTAGTAATGTATTTCTCTGATAATATCCTGATCACGCCAAACAAGTTATGTTAATTTAAAATATTATAGGCTTATGACATTAAGGTTAATGCTGGTCATATACCCTCCACATCCCACCCAAATAGCTATAGGTGTGAGGTCTACTAGGTAACCTGTGATGGGTGACAGGGTTGACTGAGCTTCTGTAACTTTGTACCCTCCGGTCCTGGCTGGGATTAGTGTACCATTTTCACGATATGATGGCCTGTGTCTGGGTTTATACTACATTATAATTTAGAAGATTAACAGAACCCAACTTAAAACATAGTTTCAGCAGCAAGGATATTTGATCTCCCATGGTCCAGGGCTTAATTTCTTTCAGAAGAGCTCAGAGTCATGACAAGAGCTATTGTGCAAATAGTGTGATATTCTTTTGTGGGTAGAATGGCCTTCTTTCAGAATCCAAGAGGTCTGCATTTGCGTTCTGCCTCTAGAACTTGCCTTAAGCTCCGTATTGCATCTTTTTCTACCACTGAAACCTTGAACATCATAGGGTCTGCAGAATACATGGCCTGCGTGGCTGTGTTGCTGGTGTCACTATCTGAATCTGCCTTGGAGC